GAAGGGAACAGCTAAAGAACAGGGGGCGACTTGGGAGTAAGGCCACAGGTGGACGGTGAAGGGCGTCTCCCAGAGGAAATAAAAGAGGAGCGAAAGGGGAGTGAAGTTTGCAGGAGACAATTAGTTCGCTTAATTGGTTCGTGACTCTCCAAGACTCCTGGCCAAGTTCTGCAGGTATCTGCCTGGCAGCTCTCCAAGCCAGATAAGGTCTCTGACTGTAAATCCTCCTTGAAAGACTTTGCTGGATGTGAATGAGCAGAATTCAGAGGAAATGAATAAAAGGGGGTTTTGTCGGGACCAGGAGTTTGCTTCAGGCGCTTGGGAAGCCTCGCTCAGAACACTGCCACTGATCTTCTGGTTTTGCCTTGCAGGAAATGCCTTTGGTGAGATCGGTGTCGATGGATAAACGAGGGAGCCCCCCCTTCTCCTGCTCCACCACAGCACCCATAGCATGGCTCAAGCAGCGAGGAGAGGAGTCCAAGGTTGGCCCCAGAGGCCCCTCCACTTCTTGCTGGCTGCCTTGGATGCCCGTGCCACCAATGGAGGAGAAGCAGCATCCGGCATCCAAGGAACAGGCTGAAGAGCTGAGCAACTCTGGGTTCGCCCCTTTGTCCGCTGAGCGGGATGCCAGAGAGACCCAGGTCAGGCGCTTCCGACACAGGTCGGAACCCCAGAACTTCAGAGAGCACCGTTTCCTGATGGACTTGGATGATGAGAACATCAGAACCTCGGATGTGTGACGATACAGGCAGTTGCCAGGAAACGGGCATTCTAAGGACGGGATGTTCTGGATGAACCATTGCTAGCTTGCACCAGCTCCAGTTGCAGAGAGGGAACAGATACTGCAAAGAAAGTTAAAGCTCAGAAGAATCTACACATATGGGTGGGTTGCTGGAGTCTTCTCAAGATCCAGCCTAATCCAGCGGGTGCCAGGATGCTCACGATGGGCCCCGTTTCAAGTCCGTTGAGGATGCCAGAACTGTACGAAGGAACTTGCCTTCCATTCGCCATCGGAAGCCGTTTGTTCCACCGTCATGGCTTCCCATCTGGGAAGGGAAGGGAAGCCGATGGTTGGAGGCCTTGGTGTACATGTCGCCTTCCTGTCTGTTTTGATTGTGCAAAAAGACTTTACTAGAGTTACCCGGAATATACAGCCACACAGTGTATCTGCCCTTTTCTGTTCTGGTAGCAACAATTGGGTGGTTTTGCTTGATCAGTGGATGAGTTGAAGGCCGTTCGCCTTGTTTAATGTCCAAAGCTTTGGGTAGGAAGAGAGTTTGGAGTTTCCTTTCCTTTCTCCCTCCCTCCCTTCCCCTCCTTCNGGCAGGCTGGATCCGGCCCATGGGCTGCATAGATCTGGCATGTGGGGCCACCCTGGAAACAGCAAAGGACCAGCCCATTGTGCTTCCCCCAGCAAAAATGGAGATCAAGAGAACCGCATGTGACCCTCCCAAACTCTGTTTTCGCTGGCAGAGGGTTGCAGGAGGCCGTCGCAGCCAAAAACAGAAATCGGGAGCCCGTTTTCGCTGGCAGAGCGCTCAGGCCACCTCAGGCGCTCTCGACAGAAGTGATGTCAAGCTGGCCACACCCACCCTGGCCATGCCACGCCCCCCTGAGGTCAAGCACGACTCTGATGCGACCCTCAATGAACTTGAGTTTGACACCTCTGATTTAAGAGATCATGCTGTTCCTTGGTTTTAATGTTGATAAGACAGGGGCGAGGAAGGAAGGAAGCAAGGGAATGAAAGCCTTATGATGTGGGCCACCTGGTTTTTTTGACACCCTCTGGAAGGCGTGCTTATTACTGCAAAGTTAAATGGGGTTTAATCCCCCAATCAATAGACCCACAATTGCGGCTTTCAACCACTTCTTTGCTCTGGAGATTTTTTTTTTTAGCTGTTGTTAATAAATAAAATTATGACCAGAATTTTGTGCTGTCTCTCTCTTTTTTTCTCTCTTCTCGTGTTGGATTTCATATAAAATTAAATACTGTGTCCTAGTACATGTAGTCCTCAACTTATGACCGCAAAATTTCTGTTGCTAAGGGAGATAGTTGTCAAGTGAGTTTTGCCCCATTTTATATGACCTTTCTAACCACAGTTGTTAAGTGAATCATTGCAGTTGTTAAGTGAGTCACGGCGTTGTTAAGTGACTCTGTCTTCCCCATTGATTTTGCTTGTCAGAAGGTCACAAAAGGGGAATCACATGACCCCAGGACACTGCAACCGTCATAAATATGAAACAGTTGCCATGCGCCTGAATTTTGATCTCTTGACCAGGGGGATGCCGCAATGGTTACAAGTGTGAAAAATGGTCATGTCCCTTTTTTTTGTTGAACAGTCACTAAATGAACTGCTGTAAGTTGAGGACTATCTATGCCACATTCACCACTCTTTTATACTTCATGTAGTTTTCATCTAATGACCAGAATTGGGACCAGAATTTCCATTGCTAAGCAAGGTTGGTTTTGCAACCTTTTCTGCCATAAGCAAATCAGTGCGGTTGTTAAGTGAATCACGTGGTCACTAAGCGAATCAAGCTTCTCCCATTGACTTTACTTGTCCGAAGCCTTCTGGGAAGGTGGCAAATGGCGATCACATGACACACACAAACACACATGAGACACTGCAACCCTTGTAAATAAAACCTGGTTGCTATGCAATAGCAACAGCACTTAGACTTATATACCGCTTTACAGTGCTTTGTTACAGCCCCCTCTAAGCGGTTTACAGAGTCAGCCTGTTGCCCACAACAATCTGGGTCCTCCTTTTACCCACCTCGGGAGGATGGAAGGCTGAGTCAACCTTGAGCCAGTCAGGATTGAACTGCTGGCAGTGGGCAGAGNCTCTCCCTCCCTTCCCCTCCTTTCCTTCCTCCCTCTTTCCTTCCTTTCCTTTCTCCCTCCCTCCTTTCCCCTCCCTGCCTCCCCCTCCTTCCTCTCCCTTCCTTCCTCCCTCCCCTCTTTCCTCTCCCTTCCTTCCTTTTCCTTCCTTCCCTTTCCTTCCTTCCTTCCTTCCTCCCTCCCTCCCTTCCCCTCATTCCTTTCCCTTCCTTCCTTTTCTCCCTCCTTTCCCTCCTTTCCTTCCTTCCCTCCTTCCCTCCCTTCTTTCCTTTCTCTTAAAGATGATAGTCTCAGATGAGAATATGAGATTCTGCTACTTATCTGGGTTACAAGCTAGCCAAAATTTTTAGCTCTTCATAATATAATTGTTCGTAGCTGGTAGCTCAGCTATCAAAAAGCAACATGGTAGGGTGAAAAACATCGCCAGCAAATTATAAGAAAACCCAACAGTAGGCTGGCAATAAGGTCAACACAAAACCTATACTGAAGAAAGGGATTTTCAAGAAATTGGAGAGAGGAAAGAGAGCAAGGACATCCTCCTATGAAATAGCATCTTTTTCTGTTCTTCTCTGGGATCTGTGCGACTGTGGAAAACAAAATAAGGGAGGTACCAAAAGGGTTTCCCCCCCCCCCCAATAGTGAATATCAAATGATACTTTGAACAATGAGGTTGTCATATGCTGGGCAGATAATTGACACCTAGAACTGAGTCATTCTTTGAACGACTGCTCAGATTCATAAAGATTTCAAACTGTGGCCTTTCCTAGTAACTTTGGGATCCCGTGTGATGCGTTCCTATTCTGTATTAAGTCAGCAGGTAGAAGCTGCAGGAAGTTCTGAATGGCGAGCCGAGGCAGGAGGAAAGCTGCCCTAGATAGATCAATTTCCTGATACTAGTGAGATTCCGTCTTACTCAAGCTTGATGTTCCCTCCTTAAAAGAAAACAGTTTCAGGAGACGCCACACTTACATCAGTGGCGGTACAGATTTGCAGCTGAAAATGCACAATGCTTCTCCTTGCCTTCCCATAGTTGGCAGGAAGCATGCTTTGGAGCAGATTGGGAGATGCCCCGTTTTGAGCCATAGGCTTAGGGTGAAATCCTGTGATCAATTGTGCAAAGACTACTCTCTCGCAGAACGTGTGACTGTCTGTGATACCAAGATTCTCAGGTGTGCATCCTTTTGTACTTCGATTAATTCAGGAATAAGATTTTGGGGTGGTTTTTTTTTTTAAAGATGCAGTATGTTCTCTACTATTGAGCCAGTTGGGTATTTTGCAGCTGCTTCCAGATTCCTGGCAAGCCTTTGGCAAAATAATATTGCTTGGAAGGTGAGTCTGTAGGCGAATTTGAACCCCTAATCATCGTGGGTATTGCAAAGGAAGAATAGTGGCTGAAATAATCTCCATTATTCTTACTAAAAGGAAAAAAAAGTCTAGTTGCAGCCTTTGTAATTTAAGGAAATAGAATCATTTGTGTCTTTCTTTCGGATATCATTTAATTATTGCGGTGGGCAACACTTGATCCTGAGCCTTATGCTGCTATTCAGACACTGGAAGTAAGCTGCTAAAATCATTTAAGACAGGGGTGTCAAACTCAAGGCCTGCAGGCTGGGGTTCCACCACAAAACCGCAGTAGACTAAAGCGCGCTCAACGAAAGCGCGTACGTGACGTCATCACAGCGCGA